CCCCCCCCCACCTCCCCCGGGATGGAGGGGGCAGGGAGGTGCGGAGCGAGGGGCGCTTCCCCTTCCGGAAGTGGCCGCCTCTCGCCACCACCTCTGGATGGCTGGACTTCCCGGCTCTGGCACAGGGAGGCACGTGGGCCGGGAAGGAGCATCGGCGGGGGTGGGTCCTCCACTCGTAACGTGGGATCTGGACTAGTCTCAGCCACGCTGCCCTGTGTAAGGCCCTACCCCGAGCATAACAGCCCCGGTTATTGAGCGCTTGGGGCATTTCACAGGGCCCGGTCCAGGCGAGGTGTTTTCCCAGCGGGTTGGTGAAGTGCCCCCTGCTTCCCAGGCGACTGTTGTGCTTGCGAGCATTTGGAACTCCGGGCGAAGGTCCCTGATGCCTCTTGAATTACTGAGGGGCTGGGGTGTGCGTGTGCGTGTGTGTGTGGTGGTGTGTGGGGGGGTACCCTATTGGGGAGCCATGGTAACAGATAGGCTTTCTGAGCAGGGTCTTCAGTGCGATCCTGGCTTTCAGGTTTAAGAATTTGACGCCTGTCTTCTCCTTTGCTGGCCTCTGTGGGACTTGGCTTTCGTCCTGCATCACAGCGGCTGTTCCGGAGAAGGGAGTGGAGGTGCTTGGCTCACTTCCCTTGCCCCCCTGGCCTTACCTGGCTGCTCCTCTCTCCCCAGGCCCGGGGTGGGGCCTCAGCAGGGGTGCTGAGGTGGGGTTCTCCACCTCTTCTCAGCCAGAATGGGGGTGGGGTCGGTGGCGGTTTCTCTGACTGCCTTGTGCGAGGCTGGGGTGTCTGCGCTCCGATCCCAGAGTGACCGTTAACAGGGAAGCGGATGGGATTTGAGATTCTCCGGGGACCACAGTGCTCAGAGTCCTTGTGTGTGGGGAAGGGGCAGGGGCTGCGGTGTGGGGCATTCTTTTCTTGCCTAGAAACTTTGACACTTTGTGGAGACACAGGGCCCTGGGGCTAGTTGAGTCTCAGAGGGGAAAGGAGGGAGAGGTGGGGAGGCTTCTTAGAGCTGAGGTGGTGGGAGGGCTTCCTGGTGGCGGTGGTTGAACTGAGACCTGAGACTGAAAGCCCGAAGCTTTGGGGTAAGGCTCTGGCTTGAGCTTAGGTCTTTCTCTCTTTCTTTTTTAAAGTTTAGTTTGTTTTCTCTTTCCCAGCCCTGCCCTCTTCCTCTCCAGGTTTGGGTAAAAGGGGGTATATAGGTGCCATGAAATGCCTTCGCAGAGCTCACCTCTACTTGTTTCCTGAAAGAAATGAGGCAGTGGGGTTTGCCTAAAATGGGAGAAGATGTTCATAGGTCACACAGATCTGTGTCTAAGGGTTCACTTTGGTCCCGGTGGGAAGCAGGTCACGGCTCCCCTGGGGCCTGGGGAGGTAGGGTGTGATGCCCGGGCACCTGACTTTCAATGGGCAAGGGGAGACTGCTCAGAGCCACTCCCAAGAGAAGGGAACAGGTTTGTCTAAAAAGGCTTCTGTGGTCTTTTGTTTCTGCCATGCAAGAAAAATGGCTTGTTCTGGAATAGTTATTTGCTGGGTTGCTCTCTT